GTGTGGGTTTCCTAATCAAGTCCAATCAGTATAATCAAACACAGCTGGACTCAAATGAAGGTGTAGAACCATCTCAAGGATGATCAGAAGAAATGGACAGCACCTGAGTTAAATATATGAGTGTCACAGCAAAGGGTCTGAATACTTAGGACCATGTGATATTTCAGTTTTTCTTTTTTAATAAATCTGCAAAAATGTCAACAATTCTGTGTTTTTCTGTCAATATGGGGTGCTGTGTGTACATTAATGAGGGAAAAAAAAATAACTTAAATGATTTTAGCAAATGGCTGCAATATAGCAAAGAGTGAAAAATTTAAGGGGGTCTGAATACTTTCCGTACCCACTGTATATATATGTATATATATATATATTTATATATATGACAAGAACTCAGAGATAAACTGTGTCAGAACAAATTCATCTTGATAATGTCAGATAACACTTAAGCAATACATGGTCAGATCAAAGTGTCGGAATCATTTTTGGTCGCAAATGTTTATCAATTTTACTGTAGTCCACTGTATGAAGAATTTTTGGGTATAACATGTCACAATTTACTTTATTTTGCTATCCTCACTTACATAAATGAACTATAGTGTCCTGCACTCACTAGTAAAAAAAATATTAAAAATTATATCTGGTGTCTGAATAATTTTTGGTTTGACTAATAATGACTGATAATATTCTAATATTCACTGTATTATTGTTAGTATTGTTAGTTTTTTAACAATCATCATCATCCACACACAAACACACACACAGACACAAAAAAAAGTGTAAAATAATAATAATAATAACAACAATAATACGCTAATATTTATATATTTAATTTATTAATAATAATAATCATCATCATCATGTGTTTTGGCCGTTCTTCAAAAATAAAATTCCTAGATAAAAATATTGTATAATAATACTCTATTATTATTAATATTATATCATGTTGTTGTTGTCATTATTAATTAATCATACAAAATTCATGTGTTTGGGTTCTACAAATAAGAGCTTATAGGTCGTCCTTCAATAAATAATTTAATAAAAAACAAATATTGTATTATATTCTAATGTTCAATTTATGCTTCTACATAATAATAATACTACTACTACTAATAATAAATGTTTTGGCCATCCTTCATAAACAAAGAATAAATAAAAATGTGTAATATACAACTATTCAGTTCATGCTTGTTAAATAAAAATAATGTATAATATACAAATATTCAGTTCATGCTTATTATTTTTACTATCATTGGTAATAATAATAATAATTCAAAAGAAACATTATCATGGGATATTCAAGTGTTTCAGTTTTGTCAGACCATCTTGCCCGTCCTTCAATAATTAAGAAAAATAAATAAATAAATAAAAATAGTGTATAGTAATATAGTAATATTCAATTTATTAATAATAATAATCATCATCCAATGTTCAAGTGTTTCTGGTTCTAAAAACCAATAGTATGAATGAAAAAAGAGATTCCGTTTTTGTTCTTTAAAATGTTTCTCTCACCAAGCGGTTGACCCCTGCTGGTTGATATCTCAACTACTCTGAGATAGTTGCATACTTCTGATGGCCCTGTGGCAGCTGAATAACTGCCAAACTTACAAATAGCTTTCTTCAGATAATATAGACCTCCTTTACTGTCACCATCAAAGGCAATTTGTACCAAAAACGGGTGCATACTGTAACTGTTCAGATGCACCACCATCAGTTAGCTGTATTTAGCATACAAGTCAGCCTGAACGGTGAAGTATCTTCACCAGACACTAATACAGGTACAGCATCCCCTTCCCAAATCCTAATCTAATCTTTTTCCAAGTAAAACCCTGATAAGAAGATGAGGATACCCGCAGCTAGTAGTACTGCTGGTTTTTCATAACGTCTCCCCAGCCTTCCATCCCCTCAGAGAAGGTGAGCTTCACATCGGATTTAGAGACGATAAGAGAGTGGGCCCCCAGATCGCTTGATGCATAGCAGGAACACAATGATGTCAAACAACAAACCAAAGAAGTCCCACCGAGAGTCAGCCTGGCAAGACATGCAAATGAGA